GGGGGGGCTGCACACACCTTGCCTGTCTCACCACTCTCCTCCTTGCCCTAAGGCCCTGTCTCACGGTCTTGCTCAGGAGGCTTCTGTTCCCTGTTCTTTCCATCACTGTCCTGTGCAGGAAGGTTTGAGAGCACCTAACCCTCTCTGGCTTCAGGATAGAGCCTCCTGCTTCCTCTTCCTGAGAGCAGCTTTGGAATTGGAAGTGTTTCTGCTTGTTCTTTTTATTTTCATGTTTGCCACAGAAAATGTGAATTTCCAATTCTTACCATAAAAATGGATAGTGGTAGTGGCTGTCTTGTTCAGTGTCAGCAGTAAACTTGACTTTCCACTCTGTTTGAATAATAAGCCCAAGCAAATTACATGTAGTTTCCTAGACATGCGTTGTGATCAGTTAGAACGTAGGTGCATGTTCTGGAAAGTAATTTATTAACGTTTTTAAACATTTGAAGAGATCTCCTGAGTTTATCCCCAGTTCTTATATTGGTAAGTGGCATGTGCTCAAAGATTTGTTTTGCTACCCAAACAGATCCCCCATGGACTTAGTCTTCAAAAATAGTGATTTAAGAGCATATGCAAGGCATGGAACTTACTAGGAGGAAAGCAAGCCTCACTGCTGGTCTTGGTGTGGGACATGTCATCCTCACTGCTGGTCTTGGTGTGGGACGTGTCATCCTCACTGCTGGTCTTGGTGTGGGACGTGTCATCCTCACTGCTGGTCTTGGTGTGGGACGTGTCGTCCTCACTGCTGGTCTTGGTGTGGGACGTGTTGTCGACGCGTGCTGATGCGGGGTGTTTCTCCCCACAGAAGTGGGTGGACGGCGCCCTCACCAATAGCCTTCCCATCCTGCCTGTTGGTCGCACAGTGACCATTTCCCCCTTCAGTGGGCGACTGGACATCTCCCCGGAGGACAAGGGGCAGCTGGCTCTGTATGTTAATGTCGCCAAACAGGACATAATGGTGAGTGATTACGGTCAGTGGTTTCTAAGGAGTGCTAATTCACTCAAAATTCCCACCAAGTTCGGCATCTTTCCCCAGCACTGGGAGCTCATTGATAATTTTATGTACCATTAGCATCTAGTGAGTGTTTTCACGCTTTACGAAGGCATCATGCACGGGGACCTGGTTCCTGGGGACTGTCAGCTGTAAGTCCTGTGGCTGCTGATTAGCTGTCAATGTGTGTAACATTTTCTTGATCTTCACTTTTTCACAGTGATAAACTTGGTAGGGCACCAATTTTAAATTCAATCATTTATTTGTTTAGAAAGATAGAGGTAGTAATAAAATATAGAGAAAAACATAGGAACCCAAATGAATAACTAATATAAAAATATTAATTCCCACAATCTAGTCTAATCACTCTGAACATGAGGCCAAATGCTATCCAGTCATGTTTGGTTGTCACAGCTCAGGGGTGCTTCTGGCATCTAGTGGGTAGAGGCCAAGGGTTTCGTTAAGGGAGTTGCAATGCACAGGACATCTCCCCCAGGACAGAGAAGTAACTGGCTTAAAATTATAGCAGTGCCAAGGCCAAGAAACTCTCCCTCTAGTCTGGGGGGGGAGGTTAACTTGGTAAGGTTAAATTTTTCCTACATTTTTTTTTTTTAATTACTGCCAGTTGTACCTGTGATAACAAAATTTCAGTTGTAAAGGTAGCATGTGTTTGTGAGCACTGTGACATCTTATTGCTTAGACTCCTGTCCTTCTGTTCTAGTTGTCCATGGCAAACCTGGTGCGGCTCAACCACGCCCTCTTCCCACCAAGCAAGAGGAAAATGGAGTCCCTCTATCACTCTGGCTTTGATGACACTGTTAAGTTTTTGCTTAAAGAAAATTGGTTCGAATGAGATGCTTACAAGTTTATGTTGCAAAACAGGTTTCAGATAGTTTTTGATAAGGCTTCTAATTAAATTCATTTTTAAGAATCTCTCAGGACTCTGTTGATTTCATTATTACTGTTTGTAATGTTTTTGTTTATTTTTAATATTTGGTTTCTTACTTGGCAGAAAGAAATCACAGGTTTTTATTGGAATTGGGCAATCATGAAGAAGGGTGTTCTCGGGTGATAGAGAACCGGTTTCAGAGAACGGTCATGTCCTTTACAAAGTGTAGGTGGGAAGGCTCTTTGGGTAAGCCGTGGAATGTGGAAAATGGAGGGCCACTATTTAGGTCCTGTGGAGAAGGCAGGGGAATGACTTGACAGGAGGTGTGAGTGTCTCTGTCAGTTAGCAGTGTCCCCCTGGCTCTAGAAGTGCAGGAAGCAGGCCCTGGGGCTGACTGGGCCAGGTGCGAAAGCCAGGTCCTTACCTCTGAGAAACAGACACCATCAGGGTTAGAGACCCTCCGTCAGGCCTGCAGGGACAAAGGTTTGCCATGCATTCGTGCATGCAGTAGCTGTGGTGCAGGAGTGGGTAGAGATCCAGGAATCCAGGAGACTTTGAAATTCGTACTCAGTTTTTCTTATCTGTCAGTGGAGGCTTCCCCGCCTCATCTTCCAACCCCAGACCCCACCTCCCAGCTGAGGTGATGATGAGGCTGTTTTGATGCTTCCCTGTTGCAAAACCCAAGCTGTCATTCATGGCTGCTGTCTCTTGTCTCTCCCACGTGTGTTTGTGTCTCTCTTTCCCCTCTCGCCCTCCCTCCAACACGCTCGCTCTCTCTTTTACCTGTGTCCCACTTTCTCCCTCAGTGGCTGTGAGGCCATACTTCTCCGAGTGCTCAGCCATTGGTCCGTATACTGGATATGCTACTATAGAAACTAAACTAGATAAAATACTACTAAACACAAAGAGTTGAATAAACCAGGTAGTCTAGCAAATAAGAGTTAAAGCCAGAATAATTGTGCACTTATCATTTTTAAATCAGGTTCCAGCCATCCCAGGCCTTCCCGTCTCTGCCTGGTTGCCCATCACTCTGAGGGCTGTGGGTGGGTCTGTCCTCACACTGTCTTAATTTGGTTTTCATGAGGTTTTGCCAAGCGTAAACTCTTAGTTACTCAGAGGCAGTTAGAGACAAACCAATTTAATTGCATGCCTCTGATTGTTATGCGTTTCTCTTTTTACACTTTGAAACCGTTCCTTAAATCAATTTTATGACTCTCAAAAGCCCCAAATACACAATTTTTAGCATGTAAACACCAACTACAGCCTCTTTTCTTACAAGTTCTGCATAGACCCAGTTTAGAGTAATAATGGTCCTTATGATGCATACTTTTCTCTACTACAACACACACGTCTTTACATCTGACATTGTTTCAACAAGTGACATGAAATGGATGGATTCACAACCCATGCTTTCCTCCATTTATTCACAAGACAGATTTTCAGTTTTGCCTAAGATTTTTCATCTTACCCCTCTCTTTTATTATTTATGTGAATATTCTATTTGTATAAAACAATGTGTTTCGATAAATTCATTATTGATATACTCCCAGCAAAAATGAATCTTAGTATATTAGACTTGTGTCAAGTATTTCTACCCACTGCACATGTCTCACATGTCTTTGACCGGGTGGGGAGAATGGCACTTTCCTTTAAAAACATCGTGCGATCGCTGACAGATCAGTCTGCAGTAACTGGCAGCATGAGGGAGATAGGGCGTTGTGATGGGACACAGTCGGGCGTTGTGATGGGACACAGACTCTGCACAGGCCAGGCGTTGTCCAGGGCCACGGGGTCAGGTTCTCCTGTGTTGCCAGTCATAGAAACACACTGCTTGCCCTTGTTGGGAGTGGGTGCCTCCTTGCCAGCTGAGAGCAGGCATTCCCAGCAAGGTCTCCCTACTCTTAGGATCTAGAAGTTGAGGTTGAGGCATTGCCAAACTGGTATGAGAAAACCTGACCCAAATACTGGGACATTTGCAGGGTGACCACTGTGACTGGCGGTTTGGTAATTTCCCATTCCTGGGGTGGGGATGGGGGTGGGGTTTCCTCATATCTTTGAATCTGTCATTTAAAAATTCATAAGTCTTTCCTTTTCTTCTTTTTAGTAATGGTCTTTACTTTGTAACTATGGTAACCCACTGGTTCAGTTGACAATTAGAGAGAAGAGATTTGGTTTTGAAGTTAAATAATGATCTAACAGAACAAGCAGTATATTAAAAAGAAAGAGAGAGAGAGGATAAGAAAGGAAACAGTTGCATTCTGGCTTCACAGTATTGGGTGCAGCGTGTACACCAGGGGCTTGCAGGGAGCAATCGTGGCTCTGAGCATTGAATCTTATTCCACACAAGCCCAGGCACTTAAAATGCACAGATATCAGGGACTCCACTCTCAGTGTTTTCTCTGAGGATTAAAACAGTTAAATACAACCACAGAGAAACATTTTTTATATTTGTACATATTGTCATTAAAGGTTTTTGGATTCATGGCCAGGCCGACTGCCCCTATAATCTTAGCTCGCTGGGAGGCCCTGGTGGTTGGATTGCTTGAGCTGAGGAGTTTGAGGCCCTGTCTCTACTAAAAATAGAAAAACTAGGTGGGTGTGGTGGCAGGTACCTGTAGTCCCAGCTACTCAGGAGGCTGAGGCAGGAAGATTCCTTGAGCTCAGGAGTTCCAGACCAGCCTGAGCAAGAGCAAGACCCCATCTCTACTAAAAATAGAAAAATAAGCCAGGTATTGTATCAGGCACCTATAGTCCCAGCTACTCGAAAAGCTGAGGCAAAATAATCACTTGAGCCCAGGAGTTTAACATTGCTATGAGCTATGATGCTACAGCACTCTAGCCTGGTCAACGGAGTGAGACTCTATCCAAAACAAAAAGAAAACTTTTTGGATTCAGACTTTTACAGTTGAGGGACCAATAATTAGGGAAGTTTAGCATTTCAGGGTTTTTCTGGCCTAAAGTTTATCTATACAATAGCAAAATGAAATGAGAGTTGAATTATCTACTTAACTCAAAGTAGGAGGGAAAACAATTATTGCAGTTCAAGAAAAGCAGAGAGATTTTTTAAAAACATTTATTATTTGCAAATTAACAGTTTATTTGGGGTGAATTCACCATGTAATTGCTTGGTTCTGCGTTTATTGTGATGCTGCTAACACAGCTCAAAGCTTTGCTTGCTCTAGGATAAAACATGTTTGTGTGCCCCCAACTCAGTATAATTCCTCCATTTTGACGGACTTAAACAGCAGAGAAATATGATTTAATGTGTTCCATACTACAGAAAGCATTTCTGACTATGCAGTCATTTACAACTTGTAATAAGATCATACCCAACTTAAGATGCAATTAGTGTGTGGAAAACATGAACATAAACCAGTATACTGGCACACACATGTGTATGTATGCACATACATACACACAACATGATAGGTCGGGACACATGTGTTCTGACATACACACTTACAACATGATAGGTCACGACACATGTGTTCTGACATACACACTTACAACATGATAGGTCACGACACAT